CCTCTTGGGTGACCGGCCACGGGCAGTCCGGGCTGCTAGTCGTTCTGCTGTTTCGTGCTGGCGCTGAGCTGCAGCGCTCGCGGCGTGCGACCTCCGCCGCGAACTGCTCGTCGGTCAGCAGCGTGAGCTTCGGCAGGAACACGAACATCTCGTCGACCGAGCGGTTGCCGCCGGTCTTCCAGTTGCGCGGCTCGATGTTGTTGGGGTTTGTCTCCGAGTTGTTGTACCACCCCATGATGTGCAGGATGGTGCCCTTCGGGAGGAGCGGCGCGTAGTCATCCTCGTAGACGTAGGTTCTGACCCAGTTGTGGTCGTACCCCGAGCAGTTGAGGATTTCCCGGAAACCGTTCGGGTACAGGGCCTCGACGCACATCCGGTCACCGCTCATGTGCAGATGCGGCTCGAAGGTGGTCAGGATGCCCGGTTCGCTCATCGTCTGAAAGTTGTCGTACCGAATGGCATCGTTGCCGGGTGGCAGCGCGAGATCCTCCCGAACGTTGCTGCCGCCTACGAGTCCCGCGTTGTAGCCCGACTGCTTGTATTTCGGCTCGTAGCCCTGGGGGTGGAACTTGAACCCGACATCGACGCGGACCGGGATGTCGCGGCCGACCGAGTGCAAATGCACGGTGTAGGTCAGCGCCGAGTCTGCCCGCAGGCGGACGCCGGTGTCCGCCGGATAGAATGTCGCGTTCTGCCCGACTTCGTAGATCAGATAGAAGCCGTCCGGGGCGTCCATGTCGAAACCGAGCTCGCGGATCCCGGCGTGGTGCAGGGCGAACAGGTTCAAGCCGGAGCCCTTTTCGTTCCTGAACGCGCTGCCGTCCAGGCGGGTCTCCTTGACCTCGACCGCCGCGATATACCGATCCTCGGCCAGACCGGTCGCCACCGGGCCCAACTCGCGGTGGTAGTCGGGGGCGACGGCCTTGACCAGCACTTGCGGTCCTTCGACGATCAGGTCCGGTTCGCCGATAGCCCACTGCGTCCGATCAAGGTACTCGCGCGCGGGGGGCATGTCGGCCGGATGGCCGCGCGGGGCGCCGCTGTCGACCCAGTGCGCCACCATCTCGATTCTCGTCCGCACTCAGCGACGGGTCGTTCTTGAAGTGCTGGACGCCCACATCGGGCTCGATGAACCAGGGCGGCATCTCGCGCGTCGAGGTCTTCTGCTTGATCGCCCTGGCCCAGGGCCGGACCTCGTCGTAGGTCATCAGCGACATGGGGGCGAAGCCCCCCTGCCGATGACAGCTCTCGCACGACCGCTGGATGATGGGAGCGATGTGCTTCGTGTACGTCACGGGGCTTCCGCCGCAGCCGCCGGCTGCGGCGCCGCGGTGGCGCCCACGAACGCGAGCAACGCGACCAGACACAACGACACGACGCCGGAATGCCGCCTGGCGTTCATGGTCGGTATCTCCTGGATACCCGGGTTCCGGCTACCGCTGCTCTGTGGGATCCCGGCCGTCGCGCGGGGCGCCGGTTCGGGAGGAGCCATGAACAGCTTGCGGCCGTCCGCGAAGGTGATGTCGCGGCCGTTGGCCTTGTTCGAACCGTCCTTGGACAGGTACCCCTCGACCGATACCTCGGCGCCGATCGGCAGATCCCGCTTGGTGAACCCGCGGCGGAGCAGGCTGGTCGGAGGTCCGCCCTCGACCATCCACGCCTCGACCGTGCCGTCTGCCTGCATGACATCGACATGCAGCCAGGAGTGGGGGTTGACCCATTCCATCCGGGTGATCTTACCGCTGAATGAGACCGGCTTGCTGGCGTCGAACTCCGCTGCAAACGCATGATGCGCCAGAGCCGGCGCCGCCGTGACGACGACGAACAGACCCACCAGGCAACCGACGATGACTAGTTTCGCTCGCATCTGAATGTCCTCCTGTGACTCGCCTGAATCCTGCGCACCGCCGTCAGCGGTTCTGCGCCTCCCAAGCCTTGGTTTCTTCCCACTCGGCTGCGATCTGCGGCGCACGGTCGTTCACCTCCCGCGCCGCCTCGTCGAGAGAAATCTGCTCGTCCGTGCGACCGCCCTTGAGCAGTCCGACCATGCCGTAGTTGTGCTCGTGGCAGGTGTACTCGTAGACATCGGGGTTGTTGTTGTCCATGTGCCACACGTTGACGGCAGTCCACGGACGCACGTACACGCTCGGGTCGCTGATCGTGTACGCATACTCGATGGTGTCGGGACCGGTCTGCCGGATGGCTCGGTGATCGTCAGCTGCTCGCCCGAACCCATGTGGTAGTGGGCGTGGTTGTGCCCATAGATGCCGCCGTGGGACGGCATCACGTCGCCGCCGTTCTGCATGTTGTTGAAGTTGGTGGTTTCAACGACGAGTGTGTCGCCTTCCCAGCGGCCGCGCGAGTCGCCCCACCACTGCCTGACGTTGGAGCCCACATGGGGACGCCCGTCGACCGGGATGATGCGCACCACGCCGTACTGGAGGTCGAAGACGACCTGGCCGGGCGTCTGGTAGATATCCTTCGGTACGTTCATTTCGCCCATCGCCAGGCCGGTGCGGAGGAGGCAGCGTTCCATGACGTTGCGGTCCTGCCAATTGTCGGCTTCGCCCCGGTGGGATCTAGCGGCTTCCCGTGCGTCCCACGTCTCGAGTATCTCGCGCGTGTAGGGCGGCAGGCGGCCGTCGGATGGATCCACGATCTGCGACGTGCGCCTCGTCGCCAGGCGCGGACTCACCGGCGCGTTCCAGAACGCGTTGTATTCCGCCCCCGAGATCTTCTGGCCCGGGCGGTTCGGGTCGATGCTGTTGGACCGCTCGATACGCTGGACATCGGCGGCCACCAGGTCGTCGGCAATCGAGCCTTCTTCACCGTCGGGCAGACCGACACGGCTGTTCGCGCGGGCGGCCGCTTCCTCCTCGGTCATGAACTCCCGCGTTCCGAACTCCGCGGCACGCTCCAGCGGGGTAGGCGTGCGGTTTTCCCATGAGCCCTGAAAGTCGGGATCACCCCACGGCGTGCGCGATACCGTGTAGCTGTTTTCGTCCTGGGCCTGGCCGGCGGCGGGAACCGCGGCCAGGGTCGCCATGGCGATGACTGCGGCCAGTGTGCCTGCCGCTATGAGAAACCGGTTGCTCATCTCAAGCCTCCTGTCGTGCTCTCACTTCCGAACTGCTACGGCTGTGCCTGTTTGACGAGACTGCCGTAGATGAACTCTTCCACGATATCGACGCACCGGAATTCCAGCAGCTGGGCGTTCTGCTCCAGCCGGCGATAGAGCGGCATGCGGATGGTCCAGGGCTCGGTGTAGACGTTGGGATCCTCGAGCGTGGCCTCGTATATCAGGTGGTGCGGGCTGACCGGCGTGATGCGCTCGACGACATGGAGGGCTTCACTGTGAAAATTGCCGGCGCGATCGAGCCATGTCAGGCCATTGAACCCGGTGACATCCACGACCAGCGTATCGCCTTCCCAGTGGCCGTTGGACCACCCCATCCAGAAGTCGATCGGCGCCTCCGTATGGTTCTCCATGTGGATGGTGCGCTTCGCGACGTTGAACTGGTAGGCGACGAGAATCTTGCTCCGCGTCTGAATGATCTGGAACGGAAAGGGGAGATAGGTTGCACGGGGGATCCCCGGCATCATGCACTTGGCTTCCGGATCGCCCTGCGTGCTCAACTCGTCCGGGTTCATCGTCAGGCGCGTCTCGCGGTTCTCGCGCCGCTGCTCCACGGCCCAATCCTGGTACGGGATCCTGCCACCGACCACCACGCTCTGGCCGCCCGGCTGCACGCCCCAGGTGCCGAGCAGGGTGGGGAACGGTCCCGGATCGACCGGGTGGTCTTCGAGGTCCCAGTGCGCCGTGCCCAGCGCCTGCCAGATTCCGTTCAAGTCCGGGTTCGCGGTGCCCATCAGACGCGGCGCCTGATAGACGGCGCCCTGGCCTTGGGTCGCGGCCGGCCACAGGCCGGCGGCGGCGATGACGGCGACCGCGGCGACCGCGACAGCCAGGATCGAGCTTCTGACACGATTTGGCATCTGTTTCCTCCGAGCCGCCCGGCCCACCTGCCGCGACGGACGTACAGGACTGCCTGCCTATACTAGCCTGGAACCCGCCGGTGGAGCCACTATAATCAACCGATTTCTGGTGTCAAGCCAGGTCGCGGCCGGCACTACCAGGTCCAGCGCCGTTCGGCCGCGTCCCACAGCCCCCAGCAGTCCTGGGCGATCCCGGCATCGAGGAAATCGGACGGCAGGTTCGAGATGGAACCGGCCGAGCGGATCTCTTCGCCGGCGGAGTACCACGTCGACAGCACGACGCCGCGGTACGGCAGACTCTCGTCTTCCCACGGTTGCACGACCGCCGAATCGATCACGACCCGCCAGGCGACATCTCGCCGCCGAGAACCGTCCGGCCCGGAGAAGGTCATTTCGTTGCCGTCGCGCTCGAAGCCGCTGACCGTTCCCACGGCTTCGATCTGGCCGGCGAACGCCGCGCGCAGACTCTCCGCGTCCGCTGTGTCGGATTCGGGTGCGCCGCAGGCCCCCAAGGCGAGCAGGCCCGCGCAGAGCACGCGCAGCGTCAGTTGTGCGCGTCATGTGCGCGACTCATCCGCGAGTATCGTGCGCTGGTCCTCTCCCGCGCTACTTCCTTCGGGTGCGGACCGCCAGCACGAAGAGGATGTGCAATGCGAAAGCGAGGATGCCGGTGATAGCGACTGCCAGCCAGGGATTCACGTGATGTCAGCCTCCGTGGACGCCGCCTATTGTAGCAGCACCCGGGCGTCGGGCCACCGGCGCGGCCGGCGGCCTGCTAAAACTGCACGTCGAGCCCCTCGACGATGCCGCGGCGCCGGAACCTGCGCACCGCCAGCCACGCGCTTCGGCCGGTCAGACCAGACTGCCAGCCTCGAGGCATCGACCGCCGTCAGACGAACAGGATCCACTCGCCGGTCAGCCAGAACTCCACGAGGTTCGTTGCCTGGCGCAGGTCGAGACTAGCTGCGGGGACCCAAATCAGCACCATCGCGGCAGCGTGTATATCAATCGGCTGTCCGCTGCGGACAGTAGACGGTGATGGCCAGCAGCGCCAGCGCCGCGAGCACCTGGTTGGTCGTCCCGAACAGCTGCCACAGCACCAGACCCGGCGAACTCGCCCTCCACCTGGAAGAACGCGAAGAACCAGATGCCGCGACGGCGATTGCCGACGCGACGTACTTGTTCTGGAGCAGCTCCACGCCGAGCGTCCCGCCGACCTCGGCGACGTTGTAGCGCAGCAGCCGCGTGGCCGAGTCGATCGACGTCAGGGCGAACGACACCATCAGCACCGTGACCGCGGCGGCCGCCAGTCCGGGCGAGAAGCCGATGGCGGACAGGAAGTGGGTCGTGCCGGTGATGAAGGCGGCGATGTTGCCGGCGAGCGTGTCCGGCGGCTGCCAGTTTTCGTAGCGGGCCAGCCATGCCTCCCGCGAGACGAAGCCGGCCGTGCAGGCCAGCACCGCCACAATCAGGCCCAGAAGCGATTCGCCCAGCATCGCGCCGTAACCTACCAGCCGCGCATCCGACTCCCGGTCGAGCTGCTTGGCGGACGTGCCGGACGAGACCAGGGCATGGAATCCGCTGGCCGCGCCGCAGGCGATGACGATGAAGGCGAACGGGAACATGGGCGGCGCCCCGGCAGGGTACGGATCGAACGCCGGTGCGACGAACGACGGATTGGTCAGGAAGAAGCCGGCGTACATCGCCGCGACGCCCAGATAGAGCAGCAGGCTGTTGGTGTAGTCGCGGGGCTGTCAGGAGCCAGACCGGCAGCACGCTGGCGGCGAATGCGTACGCCAGCAGCAGCCATTTCCACTGCGCGAGCGACGGACCCACGATGGGATAGACGGATGCCGGCCCAGACCAGCAGCAGCAGCGCCACCAGGGCGGCGGCGGTCAGCGCGCGGAGGCTCCATCCCCGGCGGTGGATGGCGAACCCCATGCCAGGGCGATCAGTATGAGCGCCGCGGTCGGCACACCGACTGCGGGTAGAAGTCGGGCGAGAACAGCGTGGCGACGATGTGCACGAACACACCCATCGCCAGGGTGATCAGGAAGAAGATGAGGATGTGGAACAGCGTCTTGGCCCGCGGTCCGATGAGACTCTCCGTGACCTTGCCTATCGGACATGCCCGGGCGCGTATGGAGACGGCCAGCGCGCCGAAGTCCTGCACCGCGCCGACGAAAATGGCGCCGAGGACGACCCACAGCAGGGCCGGCAGCCAGCCCCAGATGACGGCGATCGCCGGCCGCGAGCATCGGCGACAGTCCGGTTATGGAGGCGAACTGGTGGCCGAAGAGCACATAGCGGTTCGCGGGGACGTAGTCGCTGTCGTCGCGGAGCGCGTGCGCCGGCGTGCGCCGCGCGTCGTCGAGCCCGAACAGCCGCTGCGCCAGATGCCGGGCGTAGAAGCGGTACGCCAGCCAGTAGGCGGCGAGCGCCAGCAGGGTGACCGCGATCGGCGAGACGCCCGTGGTTGACATCAGCGGTCCAGCAAGGCGCCCATGCGTCGGAGCGCGGCGACGCCGCGCACGTCGCTGTCGAGCAGCGGCACGGACACGCGGTGGCAGCTGGTGTCGAACTCGCGCTCGATCTCGCTGCGCGGTACAGACAGCGGCGCTCCTGGCACGGCTGGCATCAGGAAAGGCTCCTTCCGCTTCCTCCGCCGCACGACGGTTGACGACACGCGCAGACGCCCCACGTCGAAGCGGCCGAGCAGGTCGGCGACCCGCCGGCTCTCTAGAATCGACAGCTTGTCGGTGTTCACGACCAGCAGGAAGGACGTGGTGGCCGGGTCGACGAGCCGCTCGCGCGCCACCAGGAACGTGCGCCGGCGGGCCTGCAGCCGTTCGTGAATCTGCGCGTCACGGCTGTCCGGCGGCTGGTCCCGGGGCTCGTCGATCAGCGACAGGTCATCGCCCTTGACCTGCCCGCCGCCCAGATGCTTCAAGGCGGCCGACAGGCGGCCGGCGCGCTCGCGCCGGCGCAGCAGGCCGTCCATCCAGGCGCCCATCACCTCGGGCAGCGACAGCAGACGGACAGTGTGGCCGCTCGGCGCCGTGTCGAAGACGACGACGTCATACTCCTCACCGCTGCTGCCCATGAGGGCGGCGATGCGCTCGAGCAGGGCGGCCTCGGCGGACCCGGGCGCGTAGCGCGCCAGATCGAGCTGCCGGTCGATCTCGTCGTACAGCCGCGGATGGACCAACGCCTTCATCTGGGTCTTTACGGCGTCGATGTGGCGCCCGGCTTCGGCGTCCGGATCGATCTCCAGACCTCACAGGTTCGGCTCCAGCGAGCGAGGCCGTGGACCTACGTTCCGTTCGAAGATGTCACCGAGCGAGTGGGCAGGATCCGTGGAGACCAAGAGGCACCGCCGCCCCCGGTCCGCGGCGGCCAGCGGCGTACGGCCGCCGCTACCGTGTTTTGCCGACGCCGCCCTTGCCGCCGACGAATACCAGATGGTGCGCCAGCAGGTCCTGTAGCATCAGCAGCCCGTGGTGAAATCCCGCGTCGCACCGAGAGCGGTCAGGCGCCCGGATGACAAGGCATGACAGGCGAGCACATTCGACGACATGTGAGCGGGGAACAACACAGTCAGTAAGGGGGACGACGAGCATCGAGACGGCCGTCCCCGAGCCGCGCACGGCGCGGCTCGGCAAGCGCGGCGCGGGGCGAAGGGGCCCCCGCTAGCGCTTGCCGGGGGTTCGGGGCGCAGCCCCGAGGTGATGAAGCCGCCCCCGCTAGCGCTTGCCGGGGGTTCGGGGCCCAGCCCCGAGTGGTAATGCTCACTAGCAGCAGCGAAAGTGGTCGAGGGGAGAATGCTCCAGGCCGATCCTGGTGTGCCACTCGTGAAACCGCTCCAGCAGCAACGGCTGGAGCTCCAGGGTGTAGTAGGTCGCAGGATTCGGTACCCCCATCAGCTCGGCGTAGACGAGCAGCATGAACAGGTCGTCCTCGTCGCGCCGGGCGCGGGCGATTGCCCCGCGGTAGGGCGCGACGTAGAACTCCTCCAGGAACGCGCGAACCTGTTCCCACGCGCCGGTTCGGCGGCCGCTCATGACGAATCGCCCGTGATCAGCCGGTCGCCTCCGCGGCCTTGCGCTTCTCGCGCATGAATGCCGACGCGGCCTCGAGCGCCACGAGGATTGCGGCGACGATGATCACCAGGTCGATGGCAATCAGGAGGTAGTTGCCTGCCCGATAGAGATCCACCAGCTGAATTAGGGCGCTCAGGAACGCCATCGCCGTGACGAACACCATCGGAATCATCGTGTACCGCGAAGGGCGGCCGAGCTTGACGAGAATCACGCTGATGACCAGCAGCGTCAACCCGCGAGCAGCTGGTTGGTCGTGCCGAACAGCGGCCAGATGACCATGCCGCCGGTGCCCCCGGCGCCGCCCGCGCCGAACGCCAGCACCAGGCAGGCGCCGACCGCGACGCCGGTGGCGATGTACCCGTTCTGCAGCGGCGGGATGTTGTAGATGGTGCCCCATTCCTGGACGATGTAGCGCTGCAGGCCGCACGCCGGCGTCCATCGTCGTGCCGGCGAAGAGCACGACCATCACCGCGAGCAGTGTCTCGGCGAACGGGACCGGGAGTCCCAGGCCGGCGGAGGCGATCTGCGCCCCACCGCGCACGAACGCGCCGGTGCCCTGTGTGTTGTACGTCTGGTAGAACGCTTCCCAGTCGCCGAATGTCGCGAACCCGGCCGTGGCGGCGATGATGGCCACGAGCGCCAGCGCGCCCTCGCCGACCGAGCCGAGGTAGCCGACGAAGCGCGCATCGGTCTCCTTGTTGAGCTGCTTCGACGTGGTGCCGGAGCCCACGAGACCGTGGAAGCCCGATATGGCGCCGCAGGCGACCGTCACGAACAGCAGTGGCAGCAGTGGCGGCGTCGCCGCCGGGACGTTCGGGTTGATCGCGGGCGCGACGATGGTCGGACTCGCGATGAGCACCGCGCCGTACAGGATGCCCAGACCGATGAACAGCTGGATGCCGTTGATGTAGTCGCGCGGCTGCAGCAGGAGCCAGACGGGCAGCATCGACGCCACCGCCGCATAGAAGAACAGGATGATGATCCACTGCGCGCCAGGCGCCAGACCCACTACCTGGTCCGGCAGCGTAACCGGCACCACCTCGCCGAGATAGATGACCGCGTAGAGAATGACCGTCCCGACGATGGTGGGCCAGGTGATCGGGACGCCCACCCTGTAGATCAGCACACCGATGACGACGGCGACGCCAACCGCGCTCCAGGCCGGGATCACGCTGCTGGGCGTCGCCTGGAACTCGTTCGAGATGGCGACGGCAAACACGGCGTTGACCATCAGCAGCAGCAGGAAGATGACGATCATGAACAACGTGCGGGCGCGGTGGCTGACGACGTCACCGGTCAGCGAGCCGACCGAACGCGCCTGGTTGCGGATGGATGCCCAGATCGCACCGAAGTCGTGCACCCCGGCGAAGAACATCGTGCCGATGACGACCCACAGGAACGCCGGCAGCCAGCCCCAGATGACGGCGATGCCGGGGCCGATGATCGGCGCGGCGCCCGCCACCGCCGTGAAGTGATGGCCCCAGAGGACGAAGCGGTTCGTCGGGACGTAGTCGATGTCGTCCCGCATCGAGTGCGCGGGGGTTTCGAAGTTGGGGTCGAGCTGGTAGATCTTCTCGGCGACGAACTTCGAGTAGAAGCGGTAGCCCAAGATACAGGCACGACGAGACCGATCACGGCAAGCAGTGCAGCGTTCAGGAGACACCTCCCTGGAGATCCCGGACGGACGGGTAGCCGGGCAGACCGGTGGCGGCGCGTACGCCGCGCACGATGGCGTCGGCGGTCGCGTCGGCCGCCGCGGCGCCAAGCTGTAGCAGACTGACCTCGCCGCCGGCGGCGCCGGTCGCGACGGCAAAGATGGCATCGCCGTCGGCCGGCGTATGCGCGGGCCGCACCGCGCGCGCCAGGCCGTCGTGGGCCATGCGGGCGAGCAGCGTGAGTTGCGCCTTGTCGAGCGCGGCGTTCGTGGCGACCACACCGATCGTCGTATTCTCGCGCCGCCGGCGGAGGCGCGGAGGCGCCGGTTCCGCGGAGAATGGCCCGGGCGTCGGCGAATCCGAGCCCGTCGGGCGTGCGTGCGCCGGCGACGATGGCGCCCGTATCGGGATCCACGATGTCGCCCACGGCGTTGACCGCCATCAGCGCGGCGACACGGATGCCGCCGGGGAGCTCGATGAGCGCGGTGCCGATGCCGCCTTCATGGAGCGGCCCGGGCCGGCCAGCTTGCCGACGGTGGCGCCGGCCCGCGCCGACGCTCCCTCGGCGACCGGCGCGTCGCTCGCGGCCCGCGCGGCGCGGTAGCCGCAGTCCGCCGTGGGCCGGATGGACGGCGTCGCCGCCGACTCCCAGGTCGTACAGGATGGCCGCCGGGACGATTGGCACCCGTGCGGCCTGCGTCTCATACCCGATGCCGCGGTCTTCCAGGTAGCGCATCACGCCCTGGGCGGCGGCCAGACCGAACGCGCTGCCGCCCGCCAGCACGATCGCATGCACCTGCTGGACCGTGTTGGTGGGGTCGAGCAGCGCCGTCTCGCGCGTGCCGGGCGCCGACCCGCGGACGTCGACCGCAGCGGTCGCACCCGCCTCGCCAGCACCACCGTGCAGCCGGTGGGGCGCCCGGACAGCGTGTGGTGACCGACCTTGAGCCCGTCGATCGCCGTCAACCCGCCGTCGCCGGCGGCCGCGCCGAGTGCGCCGGCACACTGAACCCCCACGTTGCAAGCACGCAGCAGATGATTACACGCACCGGAATGCCGTTCCGAAAGCTCCCGCATCGTATCCGAAAAGCCGCCGCAGCGGCCAGCAGTCCGTGGTGAGACCCCGCGTCGCACCGAGATCGGTCAGGCGCCCGGCTGACAAGCCGCGAGGAGCGAGCCATATTACCAATATGTGAGCGACGAGCAACGCCGTTCAGGCGGGATGCATGGCCGGTCGAATGCAGCGGGGCTTTCTCCACGGACTGCTACCATGGTGTGTAGCTTGGGGGCGGATGCGCGTGTCCTATCTGTTGCTCGCCGACCTGGTCGTCATGCTGCACGTCGCCTTCGTCGGGTTCGTGGTGGCGGGCGGCCTGGCGGTCTGGCGCTGGCCTCGCGCGGCGTGGGTGCACCTGCCGGCGGTCGTCTGGGGCGCCGCCATAGAGTGGTCCGGCGCCGTCTGTCCGTTGACGCCCATCGAGAACCGGTTGCGGTTGCTGGGCGGCGGCGGAACGTACGAGGGCGACTTCGTCCGCGAGTACATCCTGCCGGTGCTGTATCCGGCCGGCCTGACGCGCGCTACGCAGATCGCGCTGGGCGTCGCGGTGGTGGTCATCAATGCCGCGGTCTACGGGTGGTGGTTGCACCGCCGGCGGACGCCGTAGAATAGTGGGCTGCGGCATGCAAGCGATTCCCCCGGTCGACGGTCGCGCGCCACACAACTGTTTCCTTTTTCTATGCCTGCTATTGCTGTCCGGCTGCGTGCCGGCGGCCACGGGCGAGGACCAGCACGAAGCCTTCGAACCGACCGCCGGCGCGCAAACGGAAACCGTCCCCCCTCATGGGGGATTCCGCATCGTCGCGTTCGGCGATTCGCTGACGGCGGGCCTCGGCCTGTCCGCCGAGGAAGCGTACCCGGCCCGGCTTCAGGAGCGGCTGGACGCGGCCGGGTACCGCGCGCGGGTAATCAACTCCGGTGTCTCGGGCGAGACGACGGCCGGCGGTCTGCGGCGGATGGACTGGGCGCTGGAGGGCGACGTTCAGATCCTGATTCTGGCGCTGGGCGGCAATGACGGTCTGCGGGGGCTGCCGGTCGATCAGATGCGGGACAACCTCGCGCGCATGATTGTCGCCGCGCGCGACGGCGGCGCGCAGGTGCTGCTGGCGGGCATGGAGGCGCCGCCGAACTTCGGCACCGACTACGCGCATCGGTTCCGCGGCGTCTTTGAGCAACTCGCGGCCGAATTCGAGGTGGTGTTCCTGCCGTTCCTGCTCGAAGGCGTCGCGGGCGTCGCGGCGCTCAACCAGGCGGACGGCATCCATCCGAATGCGGCGGGGGCCGGTCGGGTGGCGGCCCATATCTGGCCGGCGCTCGAGCCGATGCTGCGCGCGGCGCAGCGATCGGGCGCCGCGGGCGCGCATTCTGGAGGGTCATGATCGAGCTTCGCGGTGTGTCGAAGACGGTGCTCAGTGGCAGCCGGCCCCTCACCATCCTCCAGCCCACCGACCTCACGGTTTCTTCCGACAGTTCCTCTCGATAGTCGGTCCGTCCGGCAGCGGGAAGTCGACGCTGCTCGGTCTGATTGCCGGACTGGATACGCCGTCGAGCGGCGAGATCGTGATCGACGGTGTGGAGATCACCGGTCTCGACGAGGATGGCCTCGCTCTGCTGCGCGGGGCGAAGATCGGGTTCGTGTTCCAGTTCTTTCACTTGATTCCGGCGCTGACGGCGTTCGAAAACGTGCTCGTGCCGCTCGAGATCGCCGGCGAGGCGCGGGCCGCCGAGAAAGCTGCCGCGCTGTTGCGCGACGTCGGCTTGACAGACCGCGGCCACCACTATCCGTCGCAACTGTCGGGCGGCGAACAACAGCGGATCGCGATTGCGCGCGCGCTGGCCAACGATCCGCCAATCCTGTTGGCCGACGAGCCGACCGGCAACCTCGATTCCGCCAATTGCCGCCATGTGGTCGATCTCCTGCTCGGCGTCAACCGCGCCCGCGGGACGACGATCGTCATGGTGACCCACGACGCCGAGCTGACCGCCCGCTCCGACGCCGTGCTGACCATGCGCGACGGCCGGACGACCGTGGCGGCCGTGCGCGCATGAACCGCGCCGAGGCGATTCATTCTCCGCATGGCGTACCGGGAGCTGCGCGCGTCGTGGCGGCGGCTCGCGTTCTTCTTCCTCTGCGTCGCGGTCTGGCGTCGCCGCCATCGTGGCATTGCGCTCTCTGACCCAGAACGTGCGGGTTTCGCGCTGGCGACGGAGGCTCAACGCGCACAGCTGCTCCAGACGGGGGAGGTTCGCTGCGCACGGACCGGCCGTGGCCGGACGCGGTCTGGCCCGCGCTCGACCGGCGCCTCGAAGAAAGCGGTCCGGCGTTGCGGACCGAGACGGTGGACATCGTGCGAGGCCGCTGGCGGACGCCTGGCAGCACACACGCACCAGGTCGTCGCGCTGCGCGGACGTGAAGGAGGGCTTCACGTCTACGGCGGTACGAGCGAGGAGAGCGGCGGGCCTATACGTTCGATCTGCTGCGCAACGAGGGCGCCCTGGTAGCCCCGGAGCTGCTCACGCAGCTCGGACTGCAGGTGGGCGCCCCGTTGCTCATCGAGACGTCGCATTCGAGATCCGCGACGTGATTCTGTCGGAGCCGGGCCGCAGCCTTGGCGCGTTCAGCTTCGGTCCCCGCGTGCTGGTCGAGCACGCGGCGGTGGAGCGGGCGGGGTTGCTGACTTCGCCAGCCGGGCCACCCGCCAGATGCTGCTGCGGGTCGACGAGGCGGCGATAGAGCCGCTGGTCCAGCAGCTCCGCGAGGACCTGCAGGACACATTCGTGCGCGTCGGGTCGTACAGGCGCACCGGCAACCGCATCGAGCGCAACCTGGAGCGGACCGAGAGCTACCTGAGCCTGATCGGATTTGTGATCGTGGTGCTCGGCGGCATCGGCGTCTGGAGCGTGACGCGGGTGTTCGTGCAGCAACGGTTGCGCAGCGTCGCCATCCTGAAGTGCCTCGGCGCGACGGCCGGCCGGGTGCTTTCGGTATACGTCGCGCAGGTCGCCCTGCTGGCGCTGAGCGGGAGCGCGCTGGGGGTCGGACTCGCAATGGCGGTCCTGGCCGCGATGCCCGCTTCGCTGGTGGAGCAGACGGCGTCCGCGGTCGGTCTGGCCAGCGTCTCGACCGAGCTCACCGGATCGGCGATTGTCCAGGGCCTCGCCGTCGGTGCGCTCGTGTCGCTGCTGTTCGCGCTCGTGCCGCTGCTGGAGGTGCGGCGCGCAAAGCCGCTCCTGCTGCTGCGCGAGGCCGCGGCGAGGCCGGCTGCCGGCGTGGATTGGGTCACGGTGGCGGTGACCGCGGCCGCGGCCGTCGGGTTGGTGCTGGTGTCGGCCTGGCAGGCGGCCTCGCTGGAGGTCGGCCTGTACGTCGTGGCCGGATTCGCCGGCGTGACGGTGGTGCTGTCGCTGATTGGCCGCGGCCTGCTGCGGGCGATCGCGCCGTTGCAGGCTTCGCGCTGGTTCGCGTTGCGCCACGCCGTACTGAACCTGAGCCGGCCCGGCAACCAGACCCGCGTCATCCTCCTGGCCGTCGGCCTCGGAAGCTTTTTCATCATCGGGGTCCACGCAACGCAGGCCAACCTGCTCGGCAACTTCGCGCTGGAGCTGAGCGACGACACGCCCGACATGTTTCTGATCGACATCCAGGAGGATCAGGCGGAGGGGGTGCGCGCCATGCTCGAGGCGAGCACGGGCAGGTCGCCGGAGCTGATTCCGGTGCTGCGGGTGCGCGTCACCGCCCTCGAGGGCCGCAACGTTTCTTTCGACAGTCCGCGCGGCGCGCGCCGGGCCGGGCTGGGCCGCGAGTACACGGTCACCTACCGCGCACAGCTGGCGGAGAACGAACAGGTGGTCGCGGGCCAGTTCTGGGACACCCGCCTCTGTCCCGGCGGCGGCGCCGAGGTGTACCATTCGAAGCAGACCTGAGGGAGGACCTCCTCTTTTTTCTTTCTCTTCCCTCTTGTTCCTACCTCCTTCTTCT